AATAGCCCCTTTATAAGACCCCCTCTCAGCAACTGGTCAAAATTGCAAGTGACCTACGCCGTATAGAGGCCCAGAACGAAGCAGATTCCAAAGATTTCTTTTCACTCGTTTTTTACCTTTCCTGGAAGCGCGCAGCGAAAATGAAGCACACTTTTCAGGTCCTTGCATGAGCCCCTACAATATGCAAAAAACCGTTTTCGAAAAGCGCACCACGCCCTGAACGACCTCCCTTGTAAGACCTGGGTTCAATCGTGCCATTCACCCAACATAAAGCCGTTCGATTCAAAAAAATCGAAGGTACCAGAGGTCCAAAGGCTTTCGGGGCACTGGGAGCGGGTCATTGGTGAAGGAGGGATTTACTTAACTTGAAGCCAAAATATTACTTTTTTATCTATTCTCCTCTTTGTTTTATTCGAATAAAACCGACGGCACTTTTGAATGGGATGACCTAATAAATATGGTGCAAAAAACTGGCGAAAGCGCAAATAGGTCACACGTGAGATCTGTCCAAGTTGCAGTCTTTATCGCTACGGATTCTGCAGCGCATCAGAGGGCTGGATTTAGCGCTGCGCCAGTCCAATTTCCACCAACAGTTGTCGCTTCGCTCCTTAAGCAATTGGTGGGGACAGGCTGGCGCCGCTCGAGTTCCATCTCTCCTGTCACGCCCCCGCATTGAAGCGAACAACACAGCAACACCACTTTAGCGCTACTCCCAGTTCTTATGCAGAACCACGTGCCAGAGAACACAACGAAAAGTCATTCAAGTGAAAATTAGTCCCAGCAATTTCGACGTAGAAATAAAGGATGGGGAATTGAGGGCAACGGGGAAAGCAATATTACCTTCGTGACCGCTTCTCCATGGCATGAATCCATAAGCACTTCAGTAATGTGAAGTAGGGCAGTGAACTGATCACAAGGAAGATCAGCAAAGTAATTAGCAAGAAAACCGAAATCCTAAATAGGTAGTCGATCATTTGTAAGACGGTACCTCGAAAACATATCTCCCGATGGCACATTTGAAAAGGTCCACAACTTACTTCCTCCAAATGAATAGACACAATGGCTGATATCCAAGACCTGTCAGAATCACTGACACTTTGGGACTCCCACAACAAAAAGAGCTCTCCAAGTAAAGTTGTGTAATTATCAGAGAGTCCGCAGACTGGAATAGTTTAAATTTTGATGAGGTTGAGGAGGATTTTGATGAAAGTAACTAACCGATTCGCATCGGTCTAGCTAGAGCAGCCAACGTCGCGAAGGTCTCGGTATGGAGTTCAGGAATTCGGATCAAAGTGCGGAACAAATTTGTGCATTCTGGAGTGACATTCTCTGCGAACCTGAAGTTACAAGGACAATACAAGGACATAAATGAAACATTCAAAAAAGTAGGAGTACGACTGTGAAAGAATTCGAATACTGCTGTAATCAAACAGAAAATCGAAAAGCACATGAAACCTACTTCTTGCTACGATTCACCGCATTGATGAGTGTTCGTAGTGCCAGACGTGCACGCCGAACGTCAACCTCTCTATCGTCATCATCAGCTCTACCTTCCAAAGACACAGTCAGCAAGCCAAGCAGTGCACTTTTAAGATCCTTAAACACGACTTTGTTGAAATCTGTTTCCCATAAGGAAACGATATCATATTCAAGCGGCTCTAGGAGATATCCTACGTAGAATCACGATTTTCGAATCTATGGAAAAATACTCCAGCCAACTCCAATGCTAAGCTTCTGTCACCCGAACAGTAGTCAACTAGTTCATCTGAATTGCACCTGTTACCCTGACGTTTGCCACTAGCGTAGGTCAATTTCTGTCTAAAGGTAATTGCATATCATGGTATTCTTTATGCATTACTACGAAGTAGTGGTACAGATATTTTTCTAATGAAACATGGGCACTCTAACCCTTCAGTGCTCCAGTCTTCCACAATCAGACCAGTTTTTCTTCCTACCAATTCTGTTCTCCGAAGGTAGATTTGGCTAGAAATTTCCCTTCCGCGGCAAGGTGATCCCCTGAACACGAGTATCTCTGGTCCCAAAACGTCTGGGACCTAAGCCAGAAGCGCCTGCACCAAATAAACCTAGACCAGCAAGTTTACTGAATCGTGTCTTCAGCGGTAGCCTCACGGATATCACATTCACCGGACCCAAAAGCACACAAGCGCTGGCCCCAAAATACTCTGAACCACCAAATTTACTGAGAACTTGCCTACAGAGACAACTTAATCCCCTTAACACGAATACCATATCTGTTTTGCACACAGTCCAGCGCCTGCGTTATAGGCAACGGACCACGTGAATACTCTGACCCCAGCGCGTATAAAGCAGACTTCGAGCAGATTTGGGCTAAGCGGAGTGCCAGGGCAGTTAGGGAAACATTGTAAGACAAGACAAACTACCCTGGGGACAAGTTTCTCGCGAAGCTGATGAGGAATCTTGAGGTATGGTGTCGCGCCGGTTGCTGCGGCGCAGGCACCGAGCGGTTTCGCATCAACTGGATGCGATAGTCGTTTCCAGAGGTCAAAATCAGACTTCCACGAATTTCATGGCTTCCAATAACCGCAAAAATCGCAACCGCGCTGGGAACTACGCTGCACGCAATAAACATTGGAA